CGCCGCCCCGCCGCGCCGCTCCCGCCGGCGACGCCCGCGGCCACCCCGGCCCGCGCCTTCTCCTCAACCTCCCTCACCGGCCGGCCTCCTCCGTCTCCGGCGTGATTTCCGGCGACCCTCGTAAAGCGTGCCGGCCGGATCTAGATCTGAGATTCGTCTCGGGTTGACTTTTTGCCCGAAACCCTAATATTTTGGCTATGTTCATCGCATCGTAACTTTGCATCCGTAGCTCCGTTTTGGGCATATAGCATATCAAAATGTTCATCTCAGAGAGCACATTATTTCATCTCATTGCATCATTTTCATTTGAGTTCATCTTGATGCCCTAAATGCTGTTAGAAGAATGCTATTTGAGATAATTGCCAGATCTGCTGCCCCAATTAGATATTTGTCATTTTTGCCATGTTTAATGTGTGCATGATATGCCCTTGAGCTCTACATGTGTTTTGTTATATGTTTTTCCATCTATCCAGAGGTGCAACCCATGTATTTTTGTGATGTGTGTGGTGACTAGCACAAGCTTGCAAAGTGGTGCATTCGTTAATGCTGATTTCAGGGACTTAGCATTTCCACTAAGTCCTTGGACTGTTTATCTCATTATGCCATAAGTTCATGTTGTTTTCTAGTGATCCGTGCCTCTTTTGAGGATGATCATTAAGGATGTTTTGTTAATCTTGTAGTGCTCTATCCATCCATGTCTTTGTTTGCAATTATGGAGCACCCTAACTTGAGTCAATCGAGCTCTACTTTTGCCATTTCATGAATCTGGGCAGATTGTCTACTTGTTGGCGATTTTGCCGAGGATGTTGTAGTTGATCCGTGCATGCTATGTTATTGTTCTTGCCATGTCTAGCTTGTATTTTGTGTATTCTTGATGGGTGTATACTTAGATTGTCATGACATGCTCTGTAGTGAGTGCATCGAGCTCGTAAAGATGCCTACTTAATATCTGTTTCAGCATGCTCCAGTTTTCACTAAGTCTGAGAACTGATTATGTTTTTTTGCCATGTTCACATGCTTGCAATTGTATTTTCTGATCCCTTTTGGCTCAAGGTCACTAAGGGACTTTTGTTAAGCTCTTTGAGTAGCTCCATGCCATGCTTTACTTTTCCATGTTCAGATCCTGTAGCATATAGTTTTCATGCTCCAAAGAGTGCTATCTGATCTGAAATTCCAGACAAGTGTTAATTTCACTAAGTCTGAAATCTGTTTGCTAAATGCATTTTTGCCATGCTTGTTTGAACCTGTTAATGGATGAATTGGCCATAGCTAAGTGCTAGTCTTTTGTTAAGCATCATGAATGGATCCCTGTCATGTATTTTGTTGCCATGATTGAGTGCTGTAGCATGTTCACCTTGTTGCATTTAGATGGCTACTTGCTGTAAATCGTAGACCGGTGTCATATTTGAATTGCTTGCCATTTCCAAACGGTAACTCCGATTCCGGTGTTCTTTATATTGTTTTCAAGCGATTTCATCTCACCTTTCTAGTGGCACACTTGGATTTACATGTTGAGGCCAGGTTCGTTCATTCCTTGTCAAATCTTGTATATGCATCACATGTCGCATCCCGCATAACATACCATGTTTGCATCATACTGTTTGAGCTTTGCACGTGGTTGATTGTGTCCTTGTTGCTTGTTTGTCTTGTTTGGGTAGAGCCAGGAGACGAGTTCGCTAACGAGGAGCCCGTTGAGTTTGCTATCGAGGATCCAGTCAACTCTGACAACTTTGCAGGCAAGATGATCATACCCTCGAAATCACTACTATCTTTGCTATGCTAGATGCTCGCTCTTTTGATATGCCTATGCTACGATGCCTACCACTTGCTTATCATGCCTCCCAAATTGCCATGTCAAACCTCTAACCCACCATGTCCTAGCAAACCGTTGATTGGCTATGTTACCGCTTTGCTCAGCCCCTCTTATAGTGTTGCTAGTTGCAGGTGAAGATTGGAGACCATTCCTTGTTGGAACATTATTTACTTGTTGGGATATCATTATATTGCCATGTTATCTTTATGCATCTATATACTTAGTAAAGGGTGGAAGGCTCGGCCTTTCGCCTAGTGTTTTGTTTCACTCTTGCCGCCCTAGTTTCCGTCATATCAGTGTTATGTTCCTGGATTTTGTGTTCCTTACGCGGTTGGGTTATAATGGGAACCCCTTGATAGTTCGCCTTGATTAAAGCTTTTCCAGCAATGCCCAACTTTGGTTTTACCAATTGCCACCTAGCCTCTTTTTTTCTTGGGTTTCCGGAGCCCGAGGGTCATCTTATTTTAGCCCCCCCCGGGCCAGTGCTCCTCTGAGTGTTGGTCCAATCGAGCGATGTCCGGGGCTACCAGGGGCAACTCTGGGCTGGCCTACCCGACGTCTGGCTCATCTGAGTGTGCCCTGAGAACGAGATATGTGTAGCTCCTATCGGGATTTGTCGGCACATTCGGGCGGTGTTGCTGGTTTTTTTTAACCCGTCGAAGTGTCTTGAAGAACCGGGATACCGAGTCTGATCGGAATGTCTCGGGAGGAGGTCTATTCCTTCGTTGACCGTGAGAGCTTGTCATGAGCTAAGTTGGGACTCCCCTGCAGGGATTTGAACTTTCAAAAGCCGTGCCCGCGGTTATGGGCAGATGAGAATTTGTTAATGTCCGATTGTAGATAACTTGAACCTTAACTTATTTAAAATGAATCAACTGTGTGAGTTGCCGTGATGGTCTCTTCTCGGCGGAGTCCGGGAAGTGAACACGGTGTTAGAGTAATGCTTGCCGCAGGATGCCCTCTAGTTACTCGCTCGTGCTTTGCCTCCTCTTCTCGCTCTCTTTTGCGAACAGGATAGCCACCATATATGCTAGTCGCTTGTTGCAGCTCCACATACTTTACCTTGCCTTACCTATAAGCTTGAATAGTCTTGATCGCGAGGGTGCGAGATTGCTGAGTCCCTGTGGCTCACAGATTACTTCCAAACCAGATGCAGGGCCTTATGATTCTGCTCCAGATGACACGCTTGAGCTCAAGTGGGAGTTCGACGAGGACTCACGCCGATACTACGTGTCTTTCCCTGATGATCAGTAGTGGTGCCCAGTTGGGGTGATCGGGACCGTGTCGCATGTTGGGTTTATCTTTTATTTTGACGCCGTAGTCGGGCCATGAGTGTTTGAATGTTGTAATGCTATTCATGTACTTTGATTGACGTGGCGAGTGTAAGCCAACTATGTATCTCCCCTTTTATTATCTATATTACATGGGATGTTATGAAGATTGCCTAACTTGCGACATTGCTTTCAATGCGGTTATGCCTCTAAGTCGTGCCTCGACACGTGGGAGCTATAGCCGCATCGAGGGCGTTACAAGGTGTATCAACTGTGGTGGTACATCACTGTGCAACAAAGTCTTCTATGATCGTGTGGGTCCAAAAAAGGTCTTCTAAAATTGTGGATCCACTTTCTTTAAAAATAAACCCAAAGTTTTGTTCATCAGAAATAACCCATACATCATTTATGAGGATTGTTACGCTTTCATTTAATGGTTCCTCAAACCAACCAGAAGTCACAAAAATCTAGCTAATCTAGTGAGCTCATGAGCAACTTTATTTGCTTCTCTCTTACATTGTTCGAACCTAGTAATATAAAATCACAAGCATAGTGAAAACAAACACCGAAAATAGCCGCCCTCGCACCCGCCGACCTTCCTCCATCCTTCATGGTATCAATCACGTCCAGATTGTCCCAGTTAATAATAAGGTGATTACATCCCTACCTTTATACCAGGGATAAACCGAATTCGAATGCCAAGGTTTCAGCCATCAAGACGTCCATGCAGTAGTCTATCTTTCCATTACCCCAACAATAAATTTGTCTTTGTCAGCTCTAAGCACTGCCCTCATCATGCCCGTGAGTAGGTTATGATCAAAAGAAGCATCAACATTAAGTTTCACAAAGCCCATCGGAAGGTAAGACCACCCCCATGTTTACAGAGGCCTTTGGAGATGAGGGAGTAAAAAAGTTTGTCGTAAGAGCTAGTATCCCCATAGAGATCCATTACACATTTTGAGTTGTCTTTGTGTGCACCAATTTTCATCTTTCCCATCATAGATACCAAGCTGACATACCAATCATTTCATGCACATTTTGATGACCCATGATCCGCAATTCCTGGTCTGATAGAAGAAGTAAGTATTCCAATACCGGCTCTCCCGCACGATCAACCACACAGCCTTTATCAATAATATCATTCATCCTCAACCTTTTTCAAACCTCCTTTGCTTTATCACAGAGGAATAACATGTGCTTCATATCTTCCAGTCGAACAAGTAGGATAAGTGGACTAGATTCTCATATGTTTGTTTGCGAGTGTGACACGACATGGTAGTGTTTCATGTAGTGTACATCGTATAAATTTTTGACCTTTGCTGGACAAAATATTTTTTATACCTTTCTTCAAATAGGGTTAACTGTGGATCCACTTCATATACAAGCCTATCAATGGATTTTTTTTTGAAGAAAGACCATCATGGCTAGCTTTATTGATTAAATAAAAGAAGAAATAACATCATATACAAGCCTATCAATGGATATTTTATTAATGTTGCTTTTCTAACGAACAAAAGCTAGGATCCCCGTAGAAAATGGGGTTGAGAAAAAAAGGACGATCGTCAAGGAGAAAAGTCAGTTCCATCTCTACAAGCCATCCTAACCGTTCCTGTTACATCGAGGCCTCGGAAGCCGTCCGATGTAGGTCAGGTATCCCGCACCCTCCCTTTTATGCGCTCCCCGAACCATCCCACAATTTTTTGCTCGTCCAGGGTTTTAGCCGCCGCCGCCGCCGCCCCAGCCCCCCGCAGAGAGAAGCGAGCGACAGCGAGGTCGACGCCATGGTGCAGCGCCTGACGTACCGGAAGCGGCACAGCTACGCCACCAAGTCCAACCAGACCAGGGTCGTCAAAACCCCAGGTGAGATCTGCGTTCTCCACGGGTGCCTTCTGGCAGATTCCCAGGCTGCGATTCGAGTTCTTGGGCAGTACTTGCGGTGAACTCGTGTGCGATGATGCGTGCTGTGTGATTGGTGCAGGAGGGAGGCTTGTGTACCAGTACACCAAGAAGAGGGCGAGCGGACCCAAATGTCCGGTCACAGGCAAGAAGATCCAGGGGGTAAGCGACTGTGTGATCCCTTCCCGAACCATTGGGGTGGATCGAGTTGCCCTATTGTAGTTTCATCTTCGTTTGCAGCACTTTTGGCAATATATGAGTTGCCCAATTTTCATTTCTGACCTCCGTGGTCTTTTATATATGCCATAGCTGTTTGATGGTATGCTTCTGGCGTGATGATAGCAGTTTTATTTTGTTAACTGTAGTGTCTTTTTGATGTTGCGTGTATACACATTGGTGATGTTTAACATCATTTCTGGTAATGATCTATTTAGGCTTCATTAGCTGTACATGTTCTATGTATTTGTTGTTGCAGCGTTTGCTACTGGAGTTCAGTAATTTTACTGCATTAAATATTAATAGGTTAGTTCGAATGCAAAACTGGTTACATACAACAGTGGTGCTATTGCAACCATCTGTGCTTTGTAGGGTGAGCGGGGACGTTGAAAATTTTGCTGGGAAGATTGCTATTATAAATGAAGAACTTAATTGCAACATTGGACATAGTTGCAATTTATCACCATTGCAGGCGAGCATAAACAATCTGGGCTGTAATGCCTAAAAACTGTAGATTGTATGACTAAGGCTAGTTGGTTGATTTTCATGTTTAAGGGCCTTTGATATTATGGTTTATTACTGTCCATGATTTACTAGTGGACTAAGTGAGTTTAAATAAAACGAGTAAAAGAACAAGTAGACTTGCTGGTTGGGAGTTTAAATAAAACTACTGTTTTGTGGATGAAATTTCCATTGTATGTTTATTTAGTCTCCCTTTTAAGTTTATTTAATTTACATGGATATAGGATCATTAGAAAATATTTGTTCAATCTATTGACGGATGGTTAAGTTTGCTTCATGTTGTATAATATCAGTGGTTTGACATTGTAAGTTGTAACAATATTTGTTTGACTTGTTGTAGATACCTCATCTAAGGCCTACTGAGTACAAAAGATCCAGATTATCCAGGAACAGGAGAACAGTGAACCGTCCTTATGGTGGTGTTCTATCTGGTCAGGCTGTTAGGGAGAGGTTAGTGCATCTTGTAGTAACTGCTGGGTTAGCGTTCTCTATCGTCTGTTATCTAACATGTTTGTTACAGGATCATCCGTGCTTTCCTTGTCGAAGAGCAAAAGATTGTGAAGAAGGTTTTGAAGATCCAGAAGACCAAGGAGAAGCAGCCATCAAAGTGAAATGGCCGAGGCTTTTTTTTGGAGGACAGATGGTGATGAGTGTTCAGTCAAGCCTGCGCCGTATGCTAAGCCTGTGGTTACTGAATTAAGCTAGAGATTTCCGTCCATTTTCTTGTTCCGAGGGTGGATCTGGATCTCATTACCCGTATGCTATTACTTTGTGTTTGACGGTTTGACCTGAGTACTTGGTTATATTACAGTTTTGGATACCCTTTGCAGTATTGTTCGTGGATTTCTACTGCAAGCTGCAGTATTTTCTGGCAATATTTGAAGATTCTTGATGCAGCGTTGTAGCTAATTTGGTATTCAAAACCTACAACTGATTTCATCTGCTTGCACGGCAACACACGATTGTTTGTTTGTGTGGCTGGTCCATCGAGTTACCCCTATATTTGTCATGAAACAGAGCTGAGCTACGCAACTATTTAGGGTGTCGGCGAAAGTCTCTTGCAGGTCCCGGGTGTGCTCACGGCACGTTTTCTCCTTCGCGTGCTGTGATCGTACGATGGCAATAGCGATTGATGAAACTGCTTGAGAGATACAGTTGGTATCATGCAACATGCTCGTAGCACACGTGACATCTATATAGACCTCAAGTGCTTCCAAGTCCTCTGGCCACTCGGAAGTGCACAGGTTAGAGCTACAGCCGGATCTTTTATATTGCCCTGCACCGACGGCCTGGTCAGTGACTCGTCACCCAGCCATACCTCTCATACGGATCTCATATCTGAGACGATTGTGGGAGAGGCCTAGACGTGTTTGCCATGTCAGATCCGGCTCATGTTGGTCCACCCTGACCCAACAAATATCCTCCATGCTATCCGCATCCAGACGTAACCCTAGCCACTTGCCACTCCACTTCACTTCAAGTCCGCACCGGTCTGTCCTCCCCCAACTCCTCTGCGGCGATCTCTGGCCTCGACATGGCGAGCATCGGATATGATTCCGACAACTCCGAGTTCATCGACTGGGACCTCGTCCCCACAGGAGCTGGCCATCCGCCTGGCTCTCCGCCGCTCTCAAGAGGAATTCGCCCGAGCACCGCGGACCGAGTTGCTACAGCGGGAATCCGCCCACGCCGGTAGCTCGAGGCACGGGACCGTGGCGGATCGCCATGCCCAACCGGGCGGCTCCAGGATGGCGACGCAACCCCTGTCGTGGAGCCTCGTCCCCATGACGTCGATCTCTGAGTAGAAGGCCAATGCTAGTAGATGGCCCGCTCATGGATGCGCCTAGGACTGGTATGCCCGCCAAGTGAGGGAGAGGGTGCGGCAAACAACGAAGGCAGAGTCGCATGCCGCGTCGGACAGAACCGAGGATGCCCCTCCAGGCCCGCATCCTCGTCAAGCAGCAAGTCTGGATGGTGCGTGCCCTCAGAAAAAGGAGCAAACTCTGGCGGTATGTGCCCTCGCCAGACTGCTCCAAAGAGGAGGAGGCCGATGATGGATTAGACAACTCCGACAGTGAGTAGATCTGACTCGACGTCTTTGGTCGCTACTTGTGCGACGAAGACGACAAGGGCAAGGGTAAGGACAGTTGTGGGTGAACTTTCTCCATAGCTCTAGTATTTAGAACATGCCAATTTTTGATAGTCGGTGGCATGTATTAGCCTTACTAGCAAATGAGCCCGTGTGTTACAACTGGAGGAGAAAATATCGCACAGCCCTAACCCAATACCATGACTAAGACCTACAATATGTCTTGTTAAGGTGTCTCTTTCTCTTGGCATAAGATGAGAAATCTGTTTTTATGCAAAATTTTGCCGATGCGTACATGCACAGTTATCGACGGTTTGTTTCTTCTCCAATTTTGCTTTGATGAGGTGTTCATTGCAATCCGGGTCAGTGTCGGTACGAAAGAAGATGGATCGTGCGCTATTGATTAAGGTTTCACCCTAAATAGCATTTAAAATATTTAACATGTAAACTAACATCATATTCATATTCAAGAGTGGTCGATCACGGTGGCCTCTGAAGTACCACTCAATAATATCACAAACAACTGAGACGCCACCGACCGTATTGCCAAATGGGCTATAGAGCTCTTAGCATTCGAAATAACATACAAGCCACGCCGAGCTATTAAATCTCAGGTGTTGGCTGACTTCGTCGCCGAATGGACAGAAGCCGAACTCCCTAAAGAGTACAACACATACTCCAACTGGGTGATGTACTTTGACGGCTCCAAAATGTTAGCCGGACCGGGAGCTGGTGTCATCCTAATTTCCCGTGCAGGGGACACAGTCTGTTATGTATTACAACTCATGTATACGGATTCTAATAATGCAGTCGAATATGAAGCACTCCTGCATGGACTCCGGATGGCCGTTTCTATGGGCATACAACGCCTCGAACTACGTGGGAATTCGAACCTCGTGATATCCCAAATAAATGGAGAATTCGACGCAAAGGATCCAAAGATGGTAGCTTACCGCAATGCCATACTTAGAATATCCGCTCGATTTGAGGGGCTCGAGTTTCATCATGTGGCTCAAGATAGTAATCAGGAAGTGGACATCCTTGCTCGTCTGGGAGCTAAACGCGACCCCGTCCTCCCTAACACCTTTTTGGAGAAGCTTTTCAAACCATCCATGGTATGGCAGGACGAGAGCGGAAATAATAGTCCGGCGCTGATCATACCCCCGGATGCCGAACATGATTCGGATACCATCGGGGGCTCGAGCACCGAGCCTACACCTTCCTTAATAGGCCGGACCCTTCTTGGCCTACCTTAATAGGCAGGAGCTCTCTAACGATTAGAACGAGGTCCATCGCATAGTCCGACGCTCTAAGTCTTATAAAGTCCACGAGGGAGAGCTCTACAAGAAAAGCACCACCGGAGTCCTTCAAAGATGTATCTCTAAAGAGGAGGGGCGACAGCTCTTGGCCAAAATACATGCTGGCCTCGGTGGTCATCACGCCGCAGCCCGAGCCCTAGCAAGTAAAGCCTTTCGTACAGGCTTCTTCTGGCCCACAGCCCGATCCGACGCACAGGCCCTTGTACTGTTGGGGAACGTTGCAGAAAACAAATTTTTTTCCTACGTTTCACCAATATCAATCTATGGAGTCAACTAGCAACGAGAGGAGAGTGCATCTACATACCCTTGTAGATCGCGAGCGGAAGCGTTCAAGAGAACGGGGATGATGGAGTCGTACTCGCCGTGATCCAAATCACCCATGACCAAGTGCCGAACGGATGGCACCTCCGCGTTTAACACACGTACGGAGCGGATGACGGCTCCTCCTTCTTGATCCAGCAAGGGGGAAGGAGAGGTTGATGAAGATCCAGCAGCACGACGGCGTGATGGTGGATGCAGCAGTGATCGCAGCAGGGCTTCGCCGAGCTTCTGCGAGAGGGAGAGGTGTAGCAAGGGAGAGGGAGGCGCCAAGACTTGAGGTGTGTGCTGCCCTCCCTCCCCCCCTTTATATAGGCCCCCCTAGGGGGGTGCACCGGCCCTAGGAGATGGGATCTCCTAGGGGGGCGGCGGCCAAGGGGGTGGAGTACCCCCCAAGGCAAGTGGAGGCGCCCCCTCCCCTAGGGTTCCCAACCCTAGGAGCATGGGGGGCCCAAGGGTGGGGAGGCGCACCAGCCCACTATGGGCTGGTTCCTCTCCCCACTTCAGCCCACCCTCCAGGATGGGTGGCCCCACCCGGTGGACCCCTGGGACCCTTCCGGTGGTCCCGGTACAATACCGGTGACCCCCGAAACTCTCCCGATGGCCGAAACTGCACTTCCTATATATAATTCTTCACATCCGGACCATTCCGGAACTCCTCGTGACGTCCGAGATCTCATCAGGGACTCCGAACAACTTTCGGGTTACTGCATACTCATATCTCTACAACCCTAGCGTCACCGAACCTTAAGTGTGTAGACCCTACGGGTTCGGGAGACACGTAGACATGACCGAGACGGCTCTCCGGTCAATAACCAACAGCGGGATCTGGATACCCATGTTGGCTCCCACATGATCCTCGATGATCTCATCGGATGAACCATGATGTCGAGGACTTAATCAATCCCGTATACAATTCCCTTTGTCAATCGGTACGTTACTTGCCCGAGACTCGATTGTCGGTATCCCAATACCTCGTTCAGTCTCGTTACCGGCAAGTCACTTTACTCGTACCGTAATGCATGATCCCGTGATCAACCACTTGATCACTTTGAGCTCATTGTGATGATGCATTACCGAGTGGGCCCAGAGATACCTCTCCGTCATACGAAGTGACAAATCCCAGTCTTGATTCGTGCCAACCCAACAAACACTTTTGGAGATACCTGTAATGTACCTTTATAGTCACCCAGTTACGTTGTGACGTTTGGCACACCCAAGGCACTCCTACGGTATCCGGGAGTTGCACAATCTCATGGTCTAAGGAAATGATACTTGACACTCAGAAAAGCTACAGCAAACAAACTACACGATCTTTGAGCTAAGCTTAGGATTGGGTCTTGTCCATCACATCATTCTCCTAATGATGTGATCCCGTTATCAATGACATCCAATGTCCATAGTCAGGAAACCATGACTATCTTTTGATCAACGAGCTAGTCAACTAGAGGCTCACTAGGGACGTGTTGTGGTCTATGTGTTCACACATGTATTACGATTTCCGGATAACACAATTATAGCATGAACAATAGACAATTATCATGAACAAAGAAATATAATAATAACCATTTTATTATTGCCTCTAGGGCATATTTCCAACAGTCTCCCACTTGCACTAGATTCAATATTCTAGTTACATTGTGATGAATCGAACACCCATGGAATTCTGGTGTTGATCATGTTTTGCTCTAGGGAGAGGTTTAGTCAACGGATCTGCTACATTCAGGTCCGTATGTACTTTACAAATTTCTATGTCTCCATTTTGAACACTTTCACGAATGGAGTTGAAGCGACGCTTGATATGCCTGGTCTTCCTGTGAAACCTGGGCTCCTTGGCAAGGGCAATAGCTCCAGTGTTGTCACAGAAGAGAGTCATCGGCCCCGA